ATCATGAATGCACTTTTTTCCCTTGATTAAATTAATCTTGTTGCACTCTTTCTTGGGGATTAGTATACCATTCTAAACATCCATATAATAGTACTTCATTGCTGACATTGAAATAATAGTATATTTCAAGTTAAAAAATATATAAATTGTTAGTTTTTACATACATTGATGTCCAAAAGTTAAAAAATATAATCAATCAATCATGTGTATGTAATAGAACTTAATAAAAAAGACAAAATTTTTTTGTGACAGCTATCAGTCGCTGCTGAATGACATGTCCATTGTGTCACGTGTCTTGTCGTTGCCCATTTTGGAACCGTTAACACCAAGCCATCTGGAGAAATTGACTACTATCATCATGAGCTGTCTGTATGCTGCTGTGGCAGCTGTTTCATCCCACACCATCCTGAACATTGCCAGTCTTCACCAGATTAAAGGCTTGCAAGTGGTGAAGGACAGCGACCATGAAAAGCATGCAAAACTCATCGTAAAGAAAGGGGTAAGCTAATGTTATGCAGTGTTTTTTTTTTCTTAGGGAAGAAACTATTATTTTATACTAGTTGAGTTAATTTAAGCAAATAATATGGGCTCAAACTAATACAAATTGCAACAGAATTTTTTCACTGGTGTGTATTTCAGATATGTCACCTAAATACCATACTAAAAGTATACTTAAATATGATTGGTGAACATGTTTAAATTTGAAAAAGAAGGTGGCCTATTCTTCCGGAGCCTGGTTGTAGTGTATTGTAATGTAGTTATATTTATATAGCGCTTTATACTGAAATGGTCTCAATGCACTCAAGGCGTGGACTGGCTCCTACAGTAACTTAATTCTCGTCTGAGGACCTCTTCGTGTCTGAGCTACCCGGTAAACCAGTACCAGTTACTCTCGTCAGTCCACAGCAGTGGTTGAATGGACCAAGTACACCAGGGTAACCTACACTCCATATTTGTCTAGAAGGATGTACTAGGTTCTTTAAAGTGCATATGAGCCATATTATGTACACTGGGCCTATGGTTTATAGTCCTTATCCGAGAAGACTTGTTCCACCACCAGAACCATAGGTGAGCCTCCCGTTTGAATCAGCACCGATATTATGGCTGTACGATGCGGTGCCCCTGCCTTAACCACTCGGCCATCAAACTCAACATAAAGTCATAAGTCTTCAGGATTTCCAAAGTGCTCTATTTCTGAATTGTAGACTTGTGAGCCTTGTAGGGAATAGTGACATCAATTATGTAGGCATGCTTATCTTTCCTGTCTATTGCAGTCTGGTCAAAAGTTTCTGGTCTGTGTATTTAACAGTGTTTCTGAATAAATATTTTCAGTGCCGTATTACAGCTACGTGCACTGCCCGCATGAGCTACACACCCGGCAAGCAGAATGCTTATCACTGCGTGGGCTAGGCCTAGGCCCACAACACACTGAACAAGACTTCGCACAGGCATAGACATGGCTACGGGAAACTCTTTGTTATATTTACAATATTAAACGATATCTTTCTACAATAAGCTTTTCACATGTCTGTATCAGACAAACGGGAGAAGGAAAGGATATTATTCATTCACGTATGGTGTATATAGGCGAGCTAGGGCGAGTCCATTATTTTTCTTTTATGCACGAGAGGTAGGTTTCAAAGATACCTCACTAATAGACTAACAGCTTCACTACTGATTTATTTAATTGTCGGTGCCATATTTCCAAATAATGGAACAACTTAATTTCCAGGGTGTGAACCGGAGAAGAATTAGAATACCGTAGAGTATTGTGTTCTCATATGTAGAGGTATGCTATCATCTCAGTATTAATAATTGTTTTCTAATCTTGTTCTACAGCTTGCTATGTTCAGTACCTTATCATCAGCAATACAGTCATCTATACGAGCTGGAGGACATGTAAGTGTTTATTTTACAGTTATTCTCTTTACTATTCCATGTTTGTATAAATACATCTGTGTACTTAAGTTTTGGTATAAATAGCTGATATTGTTAATATCATTATAATTATCAATATTATTATTATTATTATTATTATTATTATTATTAATCATTATAGAAAATTTATATTAGTATACCATACTCGCACGAATAACCGTTTGAATAAGCACCCCTCCTAACATGAAAATTGTCTTAAGCGCCTCGTTTGAATAAGGGCAATTTCATGGTAGCGGAATCACTATTTTGCTGAACTTTTCAACTTTAATCTAATGTCATATTTACACTCCATTCTAATTCTTGGAATAATTATCATATTTACATAACTATGGAATCCATCTATAATTTCTACCCTAGTTTTTTTAAAAAAACCTATCACAATTTTGATATAATATCAAAAAATATGTATGGTAGCGGAAAGACAAAAAAAATACCCTCTATTTTTACCACTTCACATTTTACTAAAACCCTCTGATTTAAGAAAGTGATTTAAAAATTGAATACATCTCAGTTTATCATAATTTAGTGTAGTATTGAATGCAAAACATTGATTTTTAAAAATGTTTATAGTTTTGGAGATATTTATAAAAATATAAGACCATGTCTGGTAGCGGAATCACAGTAGCGGAATGACCATTGATAAAAGTGCATTTGAAATTAATATTTATAAAGAACCTTCTTGACTAAATGTAAAATCTTTCACTTTTTATGAAAACAATGCTGAAGCAATTCACTTGGTATATGAAACAAAATTTATTTTACTTTATCAAGTCTCAAACACAATTATAAAAATTATGAAAATTAATAAAAATATTGGATTGTTTATACTGTAAGTACCAAAACACAATAACATTATATTTTTAGTCTAGAGTTTGCCTATCTATACTTAAAAAACATTCTGAGAAATTTAGTTGTTTAATTATTTAACTTAATCAAATATATAATATCATTTATGAATATAATTATGGTGGCGGAATGACAGTAGCGGAATGACATTGGAATATTGCTATAATTTACTGGTGATTTTTAAGAATATTCAAGCCTATAGCCAGGATTTTGGTAGGGGGGTTCTTTTTGATACTGAAAGGGGACTTGCGAGCACCATTGGCTGGGGCCAGAGGGCTGCCAAGGGCCCCCCGGTGGGTCGAGGGCCAAAACCCTGGAAGCTCCCGCATTCTAAGCATTTACAGGTGTTATTTAATTGATTTGAGAGGCCATACATTAAAAAAATGTATATATTAAAGAGGTAATTTTTTGAGTTGGGAAAAGATAGAAAACAAAAAAACAAAAAAACTTTAGTACTACAGTACAGTATTGGTAATTTAACAACAGTAGCATGATACAAACTCCAAAGAATCCAGTATGGTTTATTCTTTATTTTTTATTTATATAGCACATTTTTTATGTTACTAGGTAGGCCTAACAATCGGGTATTAAATTAGGACTTTTAATGATGATAGGCTCTAGGCTAGGCCTAAAGTGTAGGCTAACCAGCCTTTGTTGAAAGCGCACTTCATGAAAAGGGGGGTTCGTTCGAACCCAACGAACCCTCCTGGCTACGGGCTTGATATTAACAACACACAAAAGCAGCATGTGAATTTTCACAAAATTAAAATTAATTAAAATTATTATTTATTGTTAATGGTCAATCTCTGTGTACATGGAAGCATTAAAACATCACAAAGCATCAGTTCTCTGCAGCAGTTAATGGCATTTTGGTACTCAATCTGGATCAATTTTGGATCTCAATGATAAAAAAAAGTGATGCAGTATTCTTTAAGATGCATAAGAATACATTCGTCACTGGTTTGTGAGCCAATAGCAAGCACTTAAAATTAGTAGGTGGAGTAAAAACCAAC